AGAGGGGGAGAGAGGGAGAGGGGGAGAGAGAGAGAGAGAAGGGGGGGGGAAATAAATGAATATGGATAGTAATGATTTGTAAACTAGTAACCAGAATAGCTTATAGGGCAGATTTACTTCCCATTTAGTTTCTCAGGTAATAGAATTTCCTGGAGAGTAGATTTTGATCCCTGAGAAAGGTTTATGCCCAGTTATTAATTTTAAAAACTATCATTCTCAATGAGAAATCATTATCAGTATTTGTTTTTTTCAAAATCAAAGTTCATTTTTTTCGGGGGACATCCTGTATTTATTTTTTTTCTCACACAACAGCATAAGATGGAAATCCTTACATACTATTAATACTCTTTTTTTTTTCTTTGAGTTGGCGTTTCACTCTGTCACCCAGACTGGAGTGCAATGGCTGCTCCCGGCCACCCGCAGTCTCAACCTTCTGGGCTCTGGCGATCCTTCCGCCTCAGCCTTCCAAGTAGCTGGAACTAAAGGTGCGCGCTACCACGCCCAGCTCATTTTGATTTATTGTAGAGATGAAGTCTCGCCAAGTTGCCCAGGCGGGTCTTAAGTCATACTTTTCCCCTCTAGCTTTATTGCGGTTATAATTACCAAATAAAAATTGGATATATTAAGGTGCACAACATTATGTTTTTCCGTATGTACACATTTTGAAATAATTACCACAATCAACTTAATTAACATATTCATGACCTCACATCGTTACCTTTATTTTTATTGAGTCAGAGTCTCTGTCGCTCAGGCTGGAGTGCAGTGGCATGTTCACGGTCACTTCAGCCTCGGCTAGCTGGGCTCAGATGATGCTTACACCTCAGCCTTCCAAGTAGCTGGGACTACAGGCATGCACCACCATGCCTGGCTAATTTTTTGGTTTACTGTAGAGATGAGGTCTCGCCAAATTGTCCAGGCTGGTCTTGAACCTGTGGGCTCAGATAATTTTCTCACCTTGGTCTCCCAAAGTGCTGGTATTATAGGCGTGACCCACTGCACCTAGCCAATTACCTTTATTTTTTTGTGGTTCAAAGTTCACTTTAAGTGAAAGGATAAAATCAACAGTTGAAATCTAAAACTACCTAACCTAAGACTAATAATCACGGTTTCATAAAATTTCCAAGGTAAGAAAGTCTATGATGGCCAGGTATGGTAGCTCACACCTATAATCTCAGCACTTTGGGAGGCTAAGGTGGAAGGACTGGTTGAGCCCAGGAACCTAGGTTACATAGTGAAACTATCTCTATAAAAATAAAACAAAAAAGCTAGGAATGGTGGCATGCGCCTGTAGTCCCAGCTATTTGGGAGGCTGAGGTGGAAGGATCTTCTGAGCCCAGAAGGTCAAGGTTGTGGTGAGCCATGATCACACCACTGCACTCCAGCCCGGGCTACAGAGTGAGAACCTGAATCAAAAAACAAAACAAAACAAAAGGTCTATCTGACCTTCACTAAGCAGAAAACCAGTGTTTTTCTTTGAAATAATTACTCATAAATTAATATTCATATGTCATTACTGACTTTTTCATTTGTATTTTCAGCTAGATGACAAGCTAATTGTAGGCAAAGTAGTTTAGCCACAATAGTTTCTAGTGGTTATGGGCATTTAATCATCTTATTAAATATTAGCCAAGCGAATACTTAACCTTTATCTCACTTTTATTTGCTATTTATAAGAAATCGTTTATGTTAATGAGATTTTCTGACAACATTCTTCTTACCTACCAGCTTTCGATTATGCACTCACTAAACCAATTATATACTATCTTTCAAGATAAGTGAACTATTGAAGATATTTACCTTTGAGCCTCTCCCACATGAGCACATACAATCCCAAAGAGCTTGGCAGCAGAGCTAATAACTGACAGTGTTGGAGGTAGAGGCTTAGGCACCGAATCTCCGTCTACATCTTTCTCATAAATACAATAAGGATCATATTCAAGACTTCCACAAGCAACACCATTACCAAGCAGGAGCTAAAAGGGAAAAAAAAGTACATAAGGTTTTAAAGTCACTGTTCACAGACTGAATCTATCCAAGAGTTTAAAACGGCCATACCTGTTCTTCTATAAATCTATGGTCAGTCTCTTGTAGCAAAGGACTTAGTATCAGAAGATCATCCTGATGACAGAGGGGTGGAAGTAAAAATGTAGATGCTGCCACCTGGGTATCAGGGGCGGTCAAGTCAGCTGCCAGCTCTTTGAGGATAGCACAGTGGTTTCCTGTTGAGTCAGAGAAAAAGAACAATTAGCAGTTATTACTAGCAGTTAACTCATTATAGTATGGGGTTAAAAAGCCCGGGTTGGGCTTTTTTCAGGGGGAGTGGAGTGGCATAATCATGGCTCACTGCAGCCTTGACCTGCTGGGTTCAGAAGAAATTTTGGCCTCATCCTCCTGAGTAGCTGGGACTACAGGAGTGCACCACCACACCTGGTTACCTTTTTTTTTAATAGAGGTGAAGTCTCACTCTGTTGTACAGGCTGGTCTCTGACTCATGGGCTCAAGAAATTCTCCCATCTCGATCTTCCAAAGTTCAACCGCACTTGGCCAGGTTGAATTCTAATCTACAGCCAAAGATTGTATTTCTCATCCTTGAAAACTGTCCTACAAATAACTAAGGGCTCAACTAAGTGCTATTCACAAGGCTAAGAATGGATATAAAAAGACATCTCAAAGCATGTGTACATACATTGTAAAATTATATAAAATATAAAAATGGATTTTTAAAAAGATGAATTTACAACAGCAGATAATTGTGTGTTTAAACAAGTAGAAGCCTGAAAAAATTTGTAAATAAACATGTTTTTATCAGGGAAAATTTCAAATATATACAAAAGGAGACTTATTATGATGCTTGTTCTTTTTGCCCTCAGCATATGATCATCATTCACCTTAACCAACTGTAACAATCACCTATATTCCCATTCACTATACCACAACTCCCTATATTATTTTGAAGCAAATCCTAGACAGCATATCATTTCATCCATAAATATTTCATTGTGTATCACTAAAATTAAGGGCATTTATTTTGAAGATAATCCCACTATCATAATCTCATATTTTCAAAAACCACTAAAAATCAAACCCCCATTCAGTGGCCAAATTTCCAACTGTCTTATAAACGTCTGGTTTTGTTTGCTTATATATTTGAATCCAGATCTAAGTAAGGTCTACACATTGAAGCTAGTTGATATATCTTGTCTCTGTCAATCTAATATTCTCCTTTTTTCCCCTTGTAATTTATTTGAAGAAACAAGATTATTTGTTTCACAAAACTTTCTACAGTCTGGATTTTTACGATTATGGGTCACTGGAATAATTCAATTTATTCCTCTAGCATCTGAATTTTTTTTTTTTAAGTTGGTAGTTGATCTAGAGGAGGTTCATTTTTGCTTGTTTTTTTGTTTTTTTTTGGGGGGGAGGCAGGTTAATCACAGATGGCACTGTGTTCTTTCAGTAACACTGAAGACAATATTATGGTTGTCTCTCTAATACATACATTTTGAAAACCTAGTCCATTTTATCGCATTGATCAAAATTATCATCTCAAAGATATTTTATCCTAATTTCTGACAGATTATCCAACAATAGAGCATCTTAAGATGGTTTTTGTCAGTTTGTAGTTTAAGGACTGCAGGAATGAATAAAAACTGCCTTAGAGAAACATTCACTTTTTCAAGTGTTTCTTTGAGCAATAGCATTGGGAAAAAATGAGGACTGGGGTGATATCTACCTATTAGAAGTAGTAGGAGTTAGGAAGAGTTCACTTGCCATATTTTCCGTTTCATTAGTAGCAGTGACAGAGTAATAACAAATATTTATTGAAGTTTTTTTGGTTTCGTTTTTAAAGATGGTTTTTCGCTATGGTGTCCAGGTTGGTCTCTAACTCTCAGCTCAAGCAATCTTCCCACTTCAGCCTCCTGTGTAGGTGGAATTACAGCTGTGAGCCATCGCACCCAGCTTACTGAAAAGAGTATGTGTCAGGAAATGTCCTAAAAGCCTTACACATAGCCCTCATAATAACCTCATGAGGCTGGGTTAGTATTTTATTTATTTTAATTTAATTTTATTACTATCATTTTATAGGTGAAGTAACAGGAACAGAGAGATTGTTACTTGCCAGAGATCACACAGCAGTTACATAGCAGAGTCAGACTGAAACCCAGAAAGGATCCAGAATTCCAGTTTTTCACCACTATGCTCAATCAGTCATTCATTCAAATTGTGTTTAACAAGCTACACAGAAATATTTATTATATTTAATCTTGCTTTCAAGAAGGTATAAAAGCCGGGTTCAGTGGCTCAGCCTGTAATCCCGTGCTTTGGGAGGCTGAGGTGAGTGAACTGCCTGAGCCTGCAGGTTCGAGACCCACCTGGGCAACTTGGTGACACCTCATCTCTACAATAAATCAAAAAAATTAGCCGGGTGTGGTAGCGTGCGCCTGTAGTTCCAGCTACTTGGAAGGCTGAGGTTGAAGGATCGCTGGAGCCCAACAGGTTGAGGCTACGGTGGCTGGGAGCCACTGCACCCCAGTCTGGGCAAGAGTGAGACTCCAACTCAAAAAAAAAAAAAAAAAAGATTAAGTCTGCATCTGCTGGATAAACATAAGGAAAAGTTATTTCAATTCTTAAGTACTTTCTCCACGACAAAAGCAATAAACTAACTTTTTGACACTATGTTGGAGCAACTGATATGATCAGAACTTTAAACTTTTGTTGTGTTAGTCATATTTTCCAAGTTAATTAGATGAATAAATTTAAAAATGACTATTTCTTTTTGTGTTAAAGATTTAGAGCTTAGTATAGATTTTATTGTACTATGAGTTATGTTATTTAAAATGTCAACTGATATTTTAATGGTGAAGTTATGACTGTTATGCTCTATACATATTATGTAAATCTATTAAACAGAAAATAATATTTTAAAAATTCAAATGTCCTTAAGACAAAAAAATCCCAGGCTGGGCACAGTGGTTCACACCTGTTGTCCCAGCATTTTGGGAGGCAGAGGTAAGAGGACTGTCTAAACCAGGGGTTTGAGACCAGTCTGGGCAACTTGGTGAGGTCTAGTCTCTACAATAAATCAAAAATTAGCTGGGTGTGGTGGTGCACGTCTATGGGTCCAGCTACTTGGAAGGCTGAGGCGGAAGGATTGCCTGATCCCAGAGGGTTGAGGCTGCAGTGGCTGTGAGCATGCCTCTGCACTCCAAGCTGGATGACAGAGTAAGACTATGACTTAAAAAAAAAAAAAAAGAAAAGAAAAGGAAAGAAAAGAAACAAATCCTTACTTCTATTATCATAGTTGTAAAGATTTAAAAAAAAAGAAATGGCAAATTATTATTTTTGGCTGAAAATTTCCATTAAAAAAATTCTTCTTTAATTCATGTTAGAAAAGTAGATAAACTTGAAAAAAAGACAAAGAGAGGAAATAGTAGATTTTGTTTTTCTAAGAAGTTCATTGTCCTGACTTTGTCCCCTAATGAACACTCTAGAACTCCAATTCTGAGAAAATACGAGTACAAAAAAAGTACTTCAAGATGTCTTCCTCTCTCTAATTCAAGTTCTTTAAAAGGGTAAGACTTGCATTACCATGTAGTGTAGATTTTGATAATCTCACATTCCTAAATGTTTAAGAAGAGCTTAAAAAAGTCATTTTTTTTCATCTGTAGTTTGAAAATAAATTTCAAGATACTATGGTAAAAATCTGAAGGGAATTGCTCTTGCCACACTCTAACAGCCATTTGAATTGTAGAACATAAAAACTACCTCTCAGTTTTTTACTAGATATCTAGAGCAGGTAACTCTCATAGATATATAGCATAGAATAAGACAGACCTATCACTAAACTGTGACTGTTTATTACGTCTCTAGTAGGTTACCAGTAAGTGGAAAGACAGCACAGCATAACACAAATTTATGTTTTAATCTCGATTCCACTGTTTACCAAGTATGTGTTCTATTTGGTTTTGTAACCTCTCTAAGCCTTTGTCTATCAAATAAGGAAAATGTTAACTAGCTCAGTGTCTTATTCTAGGATAAATGAGACATAATATACACAATTTCTAGCAAAGTGCTTGGCATACAGAAATGGTTCTTTGATACAGTTTCTGAGAGATGGCAACGCATTGATTTCTTTCCTTTTTTAAAGAGTACATACTAAATGCTTACTTTAAAGCAAACATTTTGCTAGATGCATCTGAGATCCATGAAGAGAGTCAATGGGAACAATATCAATCATATAATACAAAGGCCAAGATAGAAGTTAAAAGTTAATATTTTAGCCGGACGTGGTGGCTCATGCCTGTAATTCCAACACTTTGGGAGGCAGAGGGAAGATTACCTGAGTTCAGGGGTTTGAGATCAGCCTGAGTAACATGGTGAGACCTCATTTCTACAATAAATCAAAAAAATTAGCCGAGTTCAGAGGCACATGCCTGTGGTTCCAGCTACTTGGAAGGCTGAGGCAGAAAAATCATCTGAGCCCAGCAGGTTGTGGTTGCGGTGACTGAACATGTCACTGCACTTCAGCCTGGGTGACAGAGTGAGACTCCAACACACACACACATACAAATTAATATTTTGAGCCAATATAGTATACATTATGCTGCATTTATCTGCAGAAAGTTATAGGCAAATAAGTGTAGTACTTTTACTACAAAAAAATATAGAAGTGTTTTAAAAAAATGTATTTTATTTACTGTAAAAGGGTAAACACATAGGTTAAGATTAAACTCCCTAAATCTCCTAGAAATAAGGCACTGAGTAACTGCCATTATAATTTCATTCAAGTACTTAATAACAACAATTACTTTCCTGGCACTGTACTTGCCACACAATAAAACATTTTGGTCTAAGGCACATACCTTCATAGGCTTCAGGAGGTAATAAAATTAATAGTTCATAAAGTCTTTGCCTATAAACTACTGATGGTGTTTTCAAAGGACTTCCATATGTTTTCAGTATTGAAGAAAGCCTTAAAATAAAAGAAAAAGTGTATCTTAAGTGGGTAAGTTATATAATATTGTACACATATTAACAGTTTAACATATAGTTATACATATCACTAATGAATATTAGTGTTGCTTTATTTTTTAAAGTAATGTGTGATTATAAGGTATAGAAGGGAATACAAGTGTCAGATATGAAAATTATTTTGCAAATTTTTCTATCATATGTTATAAAACAAAATTATATAGTCAGTTTCTATTTCTAAGTCTACAAGTATTATACCTAGGATCCTGAAACTCTTACTAAATTCCAAAATTCACAACTTGGCATTTGTAAAAACAAAACAAAACCTATAATGTAGAAAAGCAATCAGCCAAAGAAACATACAAATAGGATACACAAATGGCTAGAGAAAACCCAAGTATGTTAGAAACTTGATCTGAAATGTTACCACCAAATAAGAACGAACCACCACAAATTGAAAAACCATGAAACACACATTCTCCTAATAAAATACAAACTGAACCAATATTTTCCTAAAAGTTTCATTCAGAAAATCTATCACCTTTCTTCACTTTCTCTTTTCACTTCCATGTATTCTTCTTTATCCTCTGTTTACCTTCACTATTGGTATTAAGCTATCCCTTTATCAATGATCATCTATCTAACATATATTTATTGAAGGACTACTACCCTTTGCAAGGTGCCTTGTCATCAACGATGGCAACAGTTTTCATCACTTTCAGCAATACTGAAATTCAACAGAATTACTTTTGCTGTGTCACTGGAATAAATCTGCTAAACTGTCATGGCATGGGGCTTCAAGTTTCTCTAAGAAATTCTGGCAATGCTTAGTCATTTGTATTTTCCAGAAAACAACTGCTTGCTATTTCTAGTTTCTAGAAGAAAAGAGAGTTATATATTATCATTTCATATTTTAAAATGTTGGCTCCATTTTATATCTTTCAGTCTGGTGAAATATTATATATATTCAGAAAACAATGATAAAACCCAGAAATAATTTTTTAGTTATGGAAATTAAGAAGAAATCCACTGCATTTTTGATTTTTGTGTTTCTTTAAAGCCAGGTCAGAAAATTACCTGGAAAACGTTTTCAATCATATGCACAAGATGTTAAGAAATTATAAAGTATGTCTTTTAAAATCCTACAACATTCACTTAGCTTAACCAGATAAAATTTAGTTCTGAGGAGTATTATTTTATATACAAACACACACACACACAACTTTTTTGAAGTCAAATTCTCACTTTGTCGCCCAGGCTGGATGAAGCGCAAGTAGATGACCATGGCTCACTCGCAGCCTTCACCTCCTGGGCTCAGGTGATCCTTCTGCTTCAGCCTCCTGAGTAGCTGAGGTGACAGGTGAGTGCCAACAGGCCTGACTAATTTTTTGTAGAGATAAGGTCTCACTATGCCCTGGCTGGTCTCAAAGTCCTGGGCTCAAATAATTTGGCCTCCCAGAATGCTAGGATTATAGTATGAGTCACTGTGCCAGGCCAATAAATTATATTTTTAAAATCTTGCAACATTCACTCAGTTTAAGTACACAAAATTGAGTTCTCAGGAATGTATTTTTTTAAAGAATGATAAATATAATAAAATAAAATTTTAGGAAAGCATTTTTTATTGGTTTCTACTATTGCAAAGTCTTCCTAGCCGGGCTTGGTGGCTTAGCCTATAATCCCGAGCTTTGGGAGGCTGAGGTGAGTGGAATGCCTGAGCCAGTGGGTTCGAGACCCGCCTGGGCAACTTGGTGAGACCTCATTTCTACAATAATAAAAAAAAAAAAATTAGCCGGGCTTGGTAGCGCACGCCTGTAGTTCCAGCTACTTGGAAGGCTGAGGCGGAAGGATCGCTGGAGACCAACAGGTCGAGGCTGCAGGGCGACAGAGTGAAACTCCAACTCAAAAAAAAAGAGTCTTCCTGCTACAAATACACTTAGATAAGTATAAACAAGTATAGATAACAGTGTATTTTTTAACTGGAATAAAACATAAATTGCACTGTTATGCTTGTTAAGAGAGACCTTTCCAAGGCCATTTACCTCCATCCCAATAAAAACAAATATTTTAAAAAGTGAAACAAAACACAAGCTGAAATCACAGTGGGAACACAAATATCAATATCAAGGTAAGGATCTGAGACAAGGCTTGCACCCATATAAGGTAGGGATGATAAAGTGGAGCTCCTTGAAGCAGGTTAAGATGGTTCCAGGTCTTGGTAGAGGCGTATCAGATTGAACAGAGTTGAATAAAGAATTAGTGAATGGAAGACAGCACTAAAGAAATTACCCATAGGGAAGCAGCAGAAAAAGAGATAAAAATATCAGAAAGACTAAGAAACATGGAAGACAAAATGAAAAGATCTAAAATTTGTCTAATCAGAGCACCAAGGGAAAGTTCTGAGAGAATGGTGAGCAGGCAACATTTGAAGAAATAATAGCCAATTTTCCAGAAGGCACAAGTCCAACAAAATATATATCAAATAGGATAAAGAAATCCACAAATTGCCAGTTAATTTATTTTCTTGAGTCAGGGTCTCACTCTGTTGCCCAGGTTGGAGTGCAGTCACTGTAGCCTTGACTTCTTGAGCTCAGGTGATCCTTTGCCTCAGTTTCCAAGTAGCTGAGACTACAAGTGTGCACCACTATGCCCAGATAATTTTTTTATTTTTTATAGAAATGGGGTCTTGCTATGTTGTCCAGGTTGGTCTCAAACTCTTGGGCTCAAGCAATACTCTTGCCTCAGTCTCTCAAAGTATTAGTATTACAGGCATGAGCCACCATGCTTAGCCTCTCCAAATTGCCAGTTTAAAGCAGAGAGGAATTGCAGATTTGATTTTTTAAAAATTCAACTATACATAGTTTATAAGATATACCTAAGAATACAACATCATAGGAAAAAAACATACCACACATATAATAATGATAAAGATTAGACCATAACCAAAAAGTATTATTCCTACTCCTGTAATCTCAGCACTTTGGGAGGTTGGAGGCGAGAGGATTACCTGAACAACATGGCGAGACCTCATCTCTACAATAAATTACAAATCAGTCAGGCATGGTGGCGTGCACCTGTAGTTTCAGCTACTTGGAAGGCTGAGGTGGAAGGAAGGCCTGAGCCCAGCAGGTCAAGGTTGTGGTGGCTGGTGAGCATGCCACTGCACTCCAGCCTCGGTGACAGTGAGACTCCATTCCAGAAAAAAAAAAAAAAAAGAATAAAAAGAGTTACTGTATAATGACAAAAAATTCAATTCACCAGGAAAATATAAACTTCTTTGTATCTAATCAAAGTCTTATATTAATAGAACTATAGGGAGAAACTGAAAAATTTAGCATCACAAAAGAGAATGTTAACATGCCACTAATTACTGATAGTTTACAAATTAAAAATTAGTAAAGATAGAATGGAACTTTAAAAAAACACATTTGTCACAGAGCATGTCTTAACAAATTTAAAAGGACAGGTAACACAAATCATATTTACTAACTACAATGTAATTAAGTTAAAAATCAATAACAAGACCACAAACTAAGAACCATTTCATATATTTAGAAACCTAAAAACAGACTACTAAACAACTCATAATGAAATCATAAACATTCTTAAAACTGAAATAATGGAAATAGTACATATAACTTTTAGGTTTTTCAGCAAATGGGACCTTAAAGGGAAAGTTGTCAGGGTGTGGTGGCTCATGCCTTTAATCCTAGTAGTTTGGGAGGCAGAAGCGGGAGGACTGCTTGAACCTGGAAGTTTGAGACTAGTCTGGGCAACATGGCAAGATCACAGCTCTACAAAAAAAATTAAAAAATTAGCCAGGTGTAATGACAGATGCCCACAGTCCCAGAACTTGTGAGACTGAGAGTGAAGGACTGCCTGAGCCTGGGAGGTGAGCTGTGATAATGAGCTGTGATCGTGCCACTGCATTTTAGTCAAGGCGATACAAGAGAAACAAAACAAAACAAAACAAAAAACCAAAGAGTGAGAAAGAGGGAGAGAGAACAAAGAGAAATTCAATGAGGTAAGCATTCAATTTAAGATTTTTTTTTTCTTTAAGGACAAGAATTTAAGAAAACTACCAACCTAGGTAACATAGTGATACCTCATCTCTACACATATACACACACACAAAAAATTCAAACAAAAATTAGGCAGGTGTGGTGCTGTCTGCCTATAGTCCCAGCTACTCAGGAGTGGAAGGATCCCCTGAGCCCGGGAGGTCAAGACTGTGCCACTGGTCTCCAGTCTGGGTGACAGAGTAAAATTGGCAGAAGAGATACAGTGTATTAAAGTCATGGAGTGGAAGGAATTGTGAGTGCTATTAAGAATGTAGCTGGCCAGGTTCCATGGCTCAGCCTGTAATCCCAGCACTTTGGGAGGCTGAGGTGAGTGGATTGCCTGAGCCCACGGGTTCGAGACCCACCCGTGCAACTTGGCGAGACCTCGTATCTACAATAAATTTTAAAAAATTAGCCAGGCGTGGTAGCGCATGCCTGTAGTTCCAGCTACTTGGAAGGTTGAGGCGGAAGGATCGCTGGAGCCCAGAAGGTTGAGGTTGCAGTGGCCGGGAGCATGCCACTGCACTCCAGTCTGGGCAACAGAGTAAGACTCCAACTCAAAAAAAAAAAAAAACAAAAGAATAAAATAATGATAATAATAATGACAACAATTATTATTTAAGAAAGGTGTAAGGAAATCATCAAGAACAATAGTAGAATACAAATTTCAACATGTGGAAAGCTATTCCTTGTAAAAATTAATCTAACAGATATACCTCTAGTGAGATGAGTCAAGTAAAACAAAAGAGAAGGCAAGATAAAAACTTCTCAGGAATGGAGAAAGAGGCATAGAGAAAAGATTAAGAAGATAAAAGAATACTAACAACTTTATGCTGAAAATCTGAAGATAAAAATTCATGGGGAAAATTCCTGAAAAAATGTAACTTGTCAAATTTGACTTAAGCAAAGCAAATCACCCAAACCAGACCTCAAATAATCAAAAACAATTTAAAAAATGAAATAAGTAGCTTGAAAAAAATTTTTGCAGAAAATAGCAGATCTAAGCCGGGCTCGGTAGCTCAGTCTGTAATCCCAGCACTTCGGTAGCTCAGTCTGTAATCCCAGCACTTTGGGAGGCCGAGACGAGTGGACTGCCTGAGCCCGCGAGTTCGAGACTCACCCGGGCAACTGGGTAAGACCTCGTCTCTACAATAAATCAAAAAATTAGCTGGGCATGGTAGCGTGCGCCTGTAGTTCTGGCTACTCGGAAGGCTGAGGCGGTAGGATCGCCGGAGCTCAGTAGTTTGAGGCTGCGGTGGCCAGGAGCGTGCCACTGCAATCCAGTCTGGGCGACAGAGTGAGACTCCAACTCAAAAAAAAAAAAAGAAAATTGCAGATCTAGAGATTTAGAGATCATTGCTCACAAAATTCCATGTGACAGAATCACTTTAACATTACACAAACTTTCCCACAGAACTTGATAAAACATCTACCCATCTCATTCTATGAGGCTGGTATTAACTTGATTAAAAGTCAATTACAGAACAGTCTTCCTGAAGAATTTATGTGAAAAAACCCATAGGCAAACCATGTCTAGAAGTTTATAAAATAATTATTTCTAAGTTCAGTTTGTGCCAGAAATGTAATCAATTTAAAAATTGGTCAATAAAAATTGTCATATTAAGGTATAGCAGATTAAATCATTGTATAAAAATAAAAATATATTATTTAAAAAAAAACTCCAGCCGGGCTCGGTGCCTCAGCCGGTAATCCTGCGCCTTTGGGAGGCTGAGGTGAGTGGTGAGTGGATTGCCTGTGCCTGCAGGTTTGAGACCCGCCGGGGCAGTGAGACCTCATCTCTACAATTAATCAAAAAAATCAGCCGGGCGTGGTAGTACATGCCTGTAATTCCAGCTACTTGAAAGGCTGCGGTGGAAGGATCGCCGGAGCCCAGCAGGTTGAGGCTGCGGTGGCCAGGAGTGGCCACTGCACCACAGTCTGGGTGACAGAGTGAGACTCCAACTCAAAAAAAAAGAAAAACTTCACCAAATCCCAAAAATTGGCCAAGTAGAAATAAGTTACTCTCTTTTTTTTGGACCCCTCTCCCATAAGTTACTCTCAACCTGATAAAGGGTATTTACTAAAATGGCTATAGGAAACATCATTCTTATTAGCAAAACAGTATTAAATGGTTGTCATCTAGTTGGCACATAAGGTGAGAGAAAAAAATTATAAAGGAGTAAGTATTACAAAAGGAAAAATCTATAAACAAATGTTTAATATAGGAGAATTTAGCAAGGTGGCTGGCTCTTTGTATAGCAGTAACAAACAGATAAACACACCCTCTTACTTAATAATCACAATAGAAACTATAAAGTACCACTAATTTTTTTTAAAGACTTTTTTTGGGGTAAATTTTTTTTACTTTGCAAAAGATCTCAGTAATAGAAGAGAGATATGTTCACAGGTATTGTAGAAATATCAATTCTATTCAAATTTATAGATTCAATGCAATTTCAAGTAAATTTGAAAAGGAGAAGATCAAAAGTGCAAGAAGGGTCAAAATGTGCCTAAAGAGGAATAAGGTCAAAAAACTTAATCTAACATAGTAAAATTTATTATAAAGAGAATGTGTTGGCATAGAAATAGACAAACACACAAATGGAAAAACAGAGCACACAGGCAGGTCATGTATATATGGGAATACGATACACGACAGAAGTGAAAGTCAATCACTAAAGGAAAAATTTGGTTTTTTAGTAAAGTATGGAACCATTTGCTATCCACATTTAAAAGAAAATGAAATTGGATCCTGCTATGTGTTGCTCTCATGAATGGATTAATGTTATAAAAGGGCTTAATGGAGGGGGCTTGTCCCTTTTTGCCTTTCCATCTCTTTGGCATGTGAGGACATAATGTTACTCTCCTCCAGAGAATGCAGCAACAAGGTGCCACCTTGGAAGTAGAGAACAAGCTCTCGCCAGAAACCAAATCTGTTGGCATCTTGATACTGAAGTTGCCTCCAGACCTGTTAGAAATAAATGTCTATTCTTTATAAATTATCCAGTCTTAGGTATTTTGTTATAGCAGCATAAATGGACTAAGACAGATTTCTAGCTCACTCGAAATAGAAAAATCAATTCTAGATAAATGAAATACTTAAATATGAAAGACAAAACTTTAAACACTTTAGGGAGAAATGTAAGAAAATACAACTTTGCAGTAAGGAAGACTTTTTACATGAAAAGAAAAAAGTACTACCCAAAGAGTTAAAGACTGATAAATTTCACTATTTAAATAATGTCTGTTAATAAAAAAAAAACTAGAATATATTTTTAATATTTTACAGTCTCAAAAATATGTTAAAAATTCTTATACATCAATAAAAAAGGATAAACAACCTAAAAGAAAAATAAGTTAAAGATATGCATGAACAGGCATTTCATAGTAGGGAAAACACTGAGGAAAAACAAATATGTAATATGATACTTAAGCCATCCGAAATACATTTAAACCATATGAGACATCATTTTATACATACTGGATGGGGTAGAATTGATATCTGAGTAAGTGTTGGTGAAAGAGTGGATAAAAGGGTACTCATTCACTACTGGCAAAAATAGAATAATGAAAAATAACCTGGTATTATCTTATGAAGTTAAATATAAAAATACATTTTAGCACAGCCATTTCATTCCAAGGTACATATACTACAGACCTAAAATACGAATAGGAATGCTCATACTAGCATTAGTTTTAAAAGCAGAAAACTGGTAACAGCCTACAAGTCCACTGACAAGAGTACCAATATCCTGTCATATACGCATACAGTTAAATATTATCCAGCAGCCAAAATGAACTTACACATAGCTGAAGCTTAGAAACAATGTTGATGCTAGCAGAGTACACACAAGAAGAAAAGTAACCGCACTAGACTGTAAAGACTGGGGTGGACCTCTTTCTTAATGTCCAGTGTCCTTTGTCTTAAGATTTAGTGCAATATTTTGAAAAAGGAAAAAAAAAAAGAAACAATGTTGAGTATAAAAAGCAAGTCCCAGAACAGTATAATATGTGCCTGATCAAAACCAAGCAAAATAGTGTACTTTTTAAAGAAACAAAAACATGTGATACACTTTTTTTTTTTGAGTTGGAGTCTTACTCCATTGCCCAGACTGGAGTGCAGTGGCATGCTCATGGCCACCCCAGTGTTGACCTATTGGGCTCAGGCGATCCTTTCACCTCAGCCTTCCAAGCTGGTGGAACTACAGATGAGCACTATCACGCCCAGTTAATTTTTTTGATTTATTGCAGAGATGAGATCTCGCTAATTGCCCAGGCTGGTCTAGAACCTGAGAGTTCAGGCAAACCCCTCACCTTGGCCTCCCAAAGTGCTGAGATTACAGGCTTGAGCCACTGCCCAGTCTATGAGATACACTTTTTAAAAATGCAAGGTAATGACAACTATAAAATTCAGACTGGTGGCTACTTCTTTTTTTTTTTTTTTTTTTGAGTTGGAGTCTCACTCTGTCGCCCAGACTGGAGTGCAGTGGCCGCTCCCGGCCACCGCAGCCTCGACCTGCTGGGCTCCGGCGATCCTTCCGCCTCAGCCTTCCGAGTAGCCGGAATTACAGGCACGCGCTACCACGTCCAGCTGATTTTTTTATTTATTGTAGAGATGAGGTCTCGTTGCCCAGGCGGGTATCGAACCCGCGGGCTCAGGCAATCCACTCACCTCAGCCTCCCAGAGGCACGGGATTACAGGCTGAGCCACCGAGCCCGGCTTGGTGGCTACTTCTAAAGGCAGGCAGAAAGAATGGAATTGAAGAGGGGCACACAGATACCTTCAATAGTGTTAATGCTCTAGTTCAGTGGTAGCCACATTTGGTCCACTGCATGTTTTTGTAAATAAAGCTTTACTGGAACACAATCACAGTCACTCATTCATTCACATATTATCTATGACTGCTTTTGAGCTATTAAATGCAATGACAGAGTTGAGTAGTTGCAACATAGACTTCACAGTCTGCATAGCCCAAAATCTTTACTATTTAACGATTTAACTGTAAATCATTAAATACTTACTGGAAAAAACTTCTCCCTATATCTTATTAATTTGGAAATTATAAATGCTCAAGATATACATTGACTTTTTTCTATGTTTTCAAATCATATATATATATATATATAGAACTCAAACTTTTGAAAAATATACACAAACCAAAAACTGAAACTGTTAACAAGCTTCTGGTTCTTACGAACACAGAATATACTAACAAACCAATAAAATGCATACCTGAAAAAAGTTAACAGGCCTAATATTTCATTTTCTTGTTAAATCTGCCTGTATGAAAGGTGTATTATTCGCCAACTAATTTTCCTTCTCTTAATATGTACTTTTCTTTCAAGATCACAACTAATTGATTTCCTTCCTCTGTAAAAAGAAAATCATTCACTAACCTTAAAAATCTGCCTTATTAATGTACTGAAAGAATATCATATAATCAGAGAGTAATCTATTGCTCCTAAAAAAGTTTTATCAAATCTAAATAGCCAGTCCTTACTGAGTTAGCAAATCCACAGCACAAGGAAGTGGTGGAAGAAGACGCTGAATTACTTCCTCAGTAAGGAGATCACCACAGTGGAAAACAAAGCTCTTGACAGCTGAAAAAGAAAACAGACTTTTACTCAGCATAATGAAAGAAATCATGAAAGGAGCATTTGATTATGGTACAGTATTAGTATTTTTATTAGAATAAAAAAATACGCTAAAAGCAAACAATTCTTAAAACTCTAGTATAAAAAGAAAGCTACTGCCTTCTCTCTTAATCATATTAACGAAAAAAGCCTTCTTACAATTACCAAAAGAAACCAATAGCCAAATTAATAAAATGTTGCTGTCTTGGAATTTTACTCGGGCTTTAGGCTCAGAAACAAAAAAGAAATTAGCTTAGACTCACAAGTTTGTCAGTTTCACAACTATTTCTGCGGAACCATGCTGACTTTCAAGTTAGCACGTTAGGTTTTTAGATGTTATCTGAAACAAATACTTTCTATAATAATTTACTTTATACACAGGATGAGTATTTTAATGTTAGACTGAATTTCAAGATCAATTTCAAAATCTGTTTTTCTTTAAGGGTTAAAAACGCCACAAATAAACAAAACCAAAATCAATGCTTTCGTGTCTTTCCAGGGATCCCATCCTTCCTTAGTTCACATTTTCATGGTGAAACTATTTTTTAAAAAACAGTTTATATATCATAGAAAGGTACAACTTTATCATAGAAAGGATCTACATGTGATCCTTAAACAATACAGGTTTAAACTACGTAGGTTTTTTTTCAATTCAAGTCATACCGAGTGTGCCTACCTCTCCTGCTTCTCCTTCCACCTGCTCCAACTCTTCCATATCTGTCAACCAACACCTCCTTTTCATCTTCATCCATAGCCCACTCAATATGAAGATAATGAGGATGAAGACCTGTATGATGATCTACTTCTACTTATATATTTTCCCTTCCTTATGATTTCATTTTTTTCTTTTTTCTTGAGTAGGAGTCTCACTCTGTCACCCAGGCTAGAGCGCAGTGGCATGCTCGTGGCCACTGCAGCCTCAACCTGCTCAGCTCAGGTGATCCTTCCACCTCAGCCTTCCAAGTAGCTGGAACCACAGGCGTGCGCCACCATGCCTAGCTGTTCTTTTTTTTTTTATTGTAGAGACAAGGTCTCGTCAAGTTGCCCAGGCTGGTCCCAGGCAATCCTCTTATCTCTACCTCCCAAAGTGCTGAGACTACAGGTGTGAACCACTGTACCTGGCATGATTTTCTTCATAACATTTTCTTTTCTCTAGCTTACTTTAAGAACACATTATATAATACATAAAACATACAAAATATGTGGTAATCAACTGTTTATGTTATTGGCAAGACTACCTGTCAACAATAGGTTATTAGTAGTTAAGTTTTGGGGGAGTCAGAAGTTGTATGTAGATTTTCAACTTCACAGGGGGTTGGTGCTCCTGACCCCACATTATTCAAGGTTCAACTGTACAAACTTAGTCAATGGTGATTAAACCAAATTCTAGTATTTCTGAAAAGAGGAATGAATGCTTACCTAAGACAAAGCAATCTTGACAATTTTTAGCTGGATTTTATCTAGTAAAACATGCATTATTTCAAAGATTAGAACTCTCACATTTGGTTTATTATATCATACGATAGTTATCACCAACTAACCAATTACATTTTTTTGTTCAGTTATAAAAACCACCAATGGCAAATTATCCCCCTAATATTAAACAAACATGTAAGCACATGTTAAAGACAAAGATTGGAGAAAAAGGCAAAGGAAAGGAAGACAAAAGACTAAACTCAACCTACCACAGAGTGCACCAGCTCGTCCTTCCAGGGTTACCTGCCATGTAAATGAATCTCCTCGGCTCTTTTCTGTTTCTAGATCTTTAGGAGATGCTGGAAAGACACACTTCCACAACAGCAGAACTCGAGCAAGGTGATGACTGACAACAGCAGGACCTGTAATTTATTCAACTTGTCACTCGTAAGAGAATCCAAAGTGGCCACTCTTTAAAACTCTATTATTAAGCAGAAACTCCTCTCTCAAAATAAATACTTTAGTTCACTATTACAATATTTTGTCCCTTTTCTTACCTCCTTCTAATTCCAAATGAATCTATTTTTTTTGAGTTGGGGTCTCACTCTGTCAGAAGAAGTGGAGTAGCACCATCATGGTTTAACACAGCCTCGATCTCCTGGGCTCAGGCGATCCTTCCACCTCAGCCTCCCAACTAGCTGGGATTATAGGCATATGCTCCCATGCCTGGCAAATTTTCTTGTAAAGATTAGGTCTAGCTACGTTGCTTAGGCTGGTCTCGAATTCCCAGGCTCAAGTAATTCTTCCACCTCGGCTTCCTAAAGTGCTGGAATTACAGGCATGAGCCACTGCGCCTGACATCAAATGAATTTATTTCTGAATGAAATATTATCTGATGGTGCTAGAGTACAGAGAGGAAAAACAAGGAACTAGTGGTAAGGCCTGGGCTCTAGTGAAAATTCTTCTACTACTGCTATGTTTCCTTTGAGACTCAGTTTCTTATATATACAAAATGAATCTAGTATCCCCTGTACTGCTTGTCTCCAGGGGTTTGTCAGATCCAAATGATAAAACACACTTTAAAGTACTTTGAAAAACTGTAATGTGCCATGTAAATGCAAGGTACAAATGTTATAGTAACAGATAACATTTTATCCGTAATACTCAAAATAATGCTAACTTCTGATAGCAACTTGTTCCAGATCAAAAATCAGATGTAAAATACCTGAAGAGAATATTTTTTATAAAAAAAAAATTTCAGAGCAACATTTATGAACTGTGGTATCATGAATATACAAACCTAGTAATAAAAGATCAACGTAATAGTAGCATTATCAAATTTTTTTTTTTTTGAGTTGAAATCTTAATCTCCCAGGCTAGAGTGCAGTGGCATGCTCATGGGCACTGCAGAGTTGACCTGCTGGGTTCCGGTGATCCCTTTGCCTTAGCCTTCCAAGTAGCTGAAACTATAGGTATGCACTACCACACCTGGCTAATTTTTTTATTTATGGTAGAGATGAGGTCTCGCCAAATTGACCAGGCTGTTCTCGAACCTGTGGGCTCAGGCAATCCCCTCACCTTGGCCTCCCAAAGTGCTAGGATTACAGGCTTGAGTCACCAAACCCAGTCATCAATTTTTTTTAAAATTAAGAAGTATAAAAACCCAACAGTTTTTTTCACTAAGTAATTTTCTTCTGGGGTTACCTTAAACTTCTCCAATAAACACTCCCTTCTTAGTCCCACATTCTGCTAACTGTGTATCTTTCTTCTGTGGTATGGCAACACAGCATAAGAACTTCATTGGGCTTTGGATGGAAACTGCCTAGGTTAATATCCTGGCTCCACTCATGTGTTAGTCAAAAGTAAACCAGGATGAGTTACTTATGCTTTTTGTGTCTCAATTTTCTCATCCATAAGTGGGGATAATAATAGTATTTACTACATAGGATAGTTTCTGAGGCATATACAAGTTTAAATACAGAACGATGATTGGTTCATGGTAAGCATTTATATAATGTTTGACATATAATCATCATAGAAAATTCTGCCTTATTTGCATAGAAAGAGGTGAGCCTAATAACAAAACGAAAGGGCAATTAAAAGTCAATCTTTTATTTTTTGAGTTGGAGTCTCACTCTGTCACCCAGACTGGAGTGCAGTGGCACACTCTCGGCCACCGCAGCCTAAACCTGCTGGGCTCCGGCGATCCTTCCGCCTCAGTCTTCCAAGTAGCTGGAGCTACAGGCACGTGCTACCATGCCCGGCTGATTTTTTGATTTGTTGTAGAGATGAGGTCTCG